CTGTAATTTGTTAAAAATAGATTCTGTATAAAGAATGTAATAAAATGAATCACTGGATTATTTTCAACTGGAAATGTCAGAGTGTACACATTTGGTATTTATTGAAAGACAGAGAGATTAATGTGTATTTCATAAAAAACTGCCCTGAGGATATTGGTATATTTATTCCTAGGTGTCAAAAGGTCATTGATCCAGACATGGAAGAAACCTAAAGTAATGTCATGAACCAACCCTCTAAAATAAAATAAGAAATAAGAGAGATGTCCTGACTTTATTTTATGTTCCTATTTAAGGTGTAGATGTGTATAAGGATTTAGGCAAATTTGATTTATTGAAATAAAAAATTCCAGTAAAAACCGTACCTGACCTCAGCATTCTCATGAAATTAAATGCAAAAAAAATCTCCTTAACAAATGCAAATAAAGCAAAACTCATTTATTGACAGAGGAAATACCTATATTATTTGCTTTCCAATCCAATTTTGTCTAACCATATTATAATGGATCTTCCTTAACCAAGGTACCTGGTAATGTTGTATACAGAGAAATCAATCAACCAACCAGCAAAACTGATAGTTACCAACAATTACTAAATGTAGAATGAAGCATCATGGTAGTTGGATTGAAAACACATATATGAAATTCAAAGAAATTGTGGTAATGCTGGTCAGCAGTGAAAAGGCAAAGACATTTTTGTATGATTGTAGTGAAAGGGAAATTTTTCAGAAATATTATCACCATCTGGCTTTTATAAAACCCCAATGGCCAAGACTTTCTTCTATTTTCAGGGTCTTACAATACCTTGCATAATTGTAAACCTACAGCACACTCTCAGTACATCCCAGTTCACAATTTATTTTGTCTTGATTTAGAGGATTTCATACTTCATCTCAGAATAATCTTTTCATTAACAGGAGCGAGAGTTAACAGTACCACCAAACAGATGAAAACAGCAGAAAAAAAGTATTATTTGTTTTCCCTGGAACAAAATCAAAGGAGTAATAGCAACACTATTATTAAGTAGTGTCCAGAATAATGCAAGGAACCTCAGAGAATCCTAATGCAATAATAAAAGGAGAGAGAGCAAAAGGTGTCATCCCTTAGGCCAGATAAAAACACTGAAATTTGAGTATGATTTCCCCAAGATAATAAATATTTTCTAGTTCACAGAACATATTTTGATTTGCTAAAAGACTGTTCCCCTCAGATTGAGAATAAAACATCTTAATGATACCTCTCTGAATATGTCCCTAAGGTTTCAGTAAACTGGCTAGAGGATAGTATAATTCAGAGGGCCAAGTGTACCACTTAATTCACAGAAGGGACTTAGGTGTGGAATTCACTGTATAAAAGAGCAAATTAGGCTGATAGTTCTTATAACCCAGGTTTATTTTGCCTGGTATGGCTGTGACCCGTGTATCAGGTGAAATATACTTTTTACTTAGTGGTCATTTCTAAGGCATAGAATTGCTATTCACGAAATACAGAAAAACCTTTGCATAAGTCTGTGTTCTCAGTTAGGGGATCAGAGATGGAAGAAATCTAAAGTAATGTCATGAACCATTACTTTCATGGCGGGCTAGCATGATCTTTCAGATATATTGCGGGGGGGTGTGTTTCAAAACCACATATATGCATGCCACTATAGAACCTTGGTGGCACTAATGTGAGTGTACCATGTTCCTCAGCAGCACTGGGTGGGGAAAAGGTTGGGAAACATCAACCTAACTCACTTGGATATTTGATGCCAAGATGCCTGTAGAACCTGAGTAACGTAGGAATATCCACTTCATTCTTGCAAAGGTGTGAATTGAGGCAAACTCCAACACTGGTTTTATTTGCAGCGTGGAATGGCCTCCATAAACCAAGACAGGAGCATTTTGTTTGCTATGTTATTAGCAAGAATCTGTAGGGATTCATGCCCTCTTTCACGGTGCTTTGAAAACTGCAAAATGAAGCATCATAAACCAACCATTTCTCAGTTGTTTTCTGCTTGATTAGCCTGACTGGCTGGCCCAATTGCTGATGTTGGTAGTACTGCTTGCCACAGGTACAACGTGCTGTCTTTTCAAGAGGCACAGACCTATTTGAATGTAATGAGATGCTTTGGTACATTGGTAATATCACTTTGATGATTTTTTGGTTTATATGATAACCATAGGGGAAATTATTTGCTCTTAAAGGAGATGACGAAAGAAGAGCAATTACTATTAATATGATGAAAAGCAAAATTGAAAATCTTATATTGGTTAGCAAATCTTGACAAGAAGTATATTTTAATTTTCAAACGTTATTTAAATTTGACTCTTGAAGTAACCTAAAGCAATCAAGCCAACAGTAATTTTAAATTATATTAAAGAAAACTATTCATGAGGTAATAGTATACTTTAAAAAGCTACCCTCATAAAAGTAAATTCTGAAGAAATTTCAAAAACACATCTAGGCAGAGTTTGGTTCCTCATTCATAAATGTTTAATTTTCGTCAAAAATTGTTTCATCTAAAAGTGGTTGTACCTCCGGGGGAAACATTTCTTTCTAACTCATTCTGAACCCTTAGTTTGGAGTCAAACAGGCAGGATAAAAAAGTCCTCAGGTAGTGGCTGGGACTCTCATCTGCATTCTAGGTCAGCTGTTTGGAGATTAAGAAATTTGCAATTACCAGAAACAGGAACATGTTGCAAGTAAGAATTTAAATAGTTCAGGTAATTTTGGGAGGTATCGGTAAGTGCCAGTGATCAGGGAAATATGACAGGACAGGGAGAAAAATCAATACCAAAAGAAAACATATTGAATCAAGGGTTAGTGTTGGGTGCTAAGGATTGGAGGTGGGTGGATATTAGTTACAAAGATACAGTCATAGAAAGTAAGGAAATATTTACCGAGATGCTTCTATTTTTCAGGAACAGGAATAAATGCTTCACTTTAATTACTTTATTCAATTCTCCTGATTTTGCTGGGTAAGAATCATTGTATGAAGAAAGAATTTCATAGACATTAAACAACTTGCCCAAGAACACACAGACAATGAGAGTCTAAATTTTATCCTAGTTTTGCTTGCCTTCAAAATCTATACTCCTTCTATGGTACCACACGGACAAGGGTTAGGCATATAGAATTTTGGAAATGTATCCAAGTCTAGATTAGAGAATACATATGCCTCGCTTTTCGGTACTCAAAAGGCATTAGGATGTGTGTTTTAGAGAGTGTGACAGGAACAGTTGCTTTTTAGTTCTCTGGGCAAGTGAAGCAGATTTTAGGTATGTGTGCATGGAGAAACTAGGCTTGGAAGACAGCCACAATTCATCTGACATGAGAAGGAATCTCTAAGTGAGATTGGGCTCTGCAATCCCATCGGGCAACCAGGAAAAAAGTTGTCTGGGCCCTGGGTAAGGATGGGGGATAGGGTCAGGGGTTTGAGAGCTCTCCATGCTTCTATTCTGGTCAGGTCTGCATCTTTTTGAGACTACAGATCCTGTCAGGAGCCATCCCTACCTCCCACCCCACCCCTTCAGTGACTGCAGTTCCTAATCAGTCTCTAGTCCCTTGTAGGCCTAGGGGTGCTAACAGCTTCCTGCTATTGCTGTCCCCTGGGTGCCTCAGCATTCCCTGTTGATTGCCTTAACCCTTGCTCCTTGGTTAAAAAGCCTCTTCCAAAATCCCAGCCGAGAATGCAGCCTGGATCCTGCATGCCCACAGGATCTGTCTGTTAGAGCAGAGAGAGCAGAAGTCAGTGCAAGCCAGCTGCTGAGTCACTGCAGTTAGCTCCCCCTCCCCTTCAGCAGGCGTATGGAGTGTGAGGATGGCGTGTGAAGTTCACATGATCTGATAGCAGACAGCAGACAACTGGAGACAGGCTCTCTAGGCAAAATGTCTCAACAGTAGGCATTGAGGGTGCCAGACTTTTGGACTCAAGTCAACATCTTCTGAAGAGGAGATTATTTATATGCTTCCTGTCAATGCCCCAAACTGGTCTTAATGTGTGCATGCTGTGGAAAGGGTGAGAAGCAGGGGGCAAGGCTGCTTTGAACAGAAGTTCGAGAGATGAGGCCTTTGGACCAACACACACTGTGTTTAGCAAACATAATTCCAGCCTCACAAAACCAGAAGTTCTGAACTATGGATAGGGAGTCAAGGAGATTGGTGTTTGCGTATACATGTGCAGATGGAAGGTGTGTGTCTGTGGCCCCTCCCCCAAAGATACATAATAGTAGCCAACATTTATGAGTGCTTACTCTGTGTCAGTCACTGTTCTGAGTGATTTACTTACATCAGCTTTTAATCTTGGCAACAAATACATTAGGGGGCACTAATATTATGCCAGCTTTCCAGGGATAGACACTCTGGCACAGAGAGATGAAGCCGGTGGTCTCACAGGAACCTGCTGAGTAGGGAGTAACCCAGGTAGCCTGTCTCCGCAGACCACCCAGGACTGTCTCTGTGCCTGCCTCTGGACTTGTAAGAGGAAGTGCGTTCGTGTGCATTATTCATCTTCATATGCCCAGAACCTAGCACATGCCTAGTACGTACGCAGTAGATGCTTCCTGCTTATTTGTTGATTCAGTGAATGAACTTTTGCTGGGCAGTGAGGACTGCGCAAACCCCGTAGCAACAGCTCTTAGGGTAGAATGCAGAGTTTCTTCCGTGGGACAGCGCTGCCGGGCCCATCCTTTCCTTACCACGACCCTAACCCAAGCAGGTCCTAAGCTGAGATGGGTTGTATCTGTTCGAACAGGGAAAGGCATAGCAGGCAGCGCCCTGAACAAACCAGAAAAACAGCCCTCCTCCGCTCGGAGCCCACGGCTGGGCACAGCCTAAGCTGCTCTGCCCGGCAGGAGGCCTCGGTGCCCGCAGATCGCCCGTCCCACCCCTCCTCTCCCCGTCCCTCCCGCCGCCCGAGGTCTACGGGCCGCCCCGCCTGCTGGGTGGAGTGCGCGCCAGGGAGGCAGCCTCGGACTCTGCACCCTCAGGTGCGCGGGGCCTTCCAGCCCAGCCGCTCCGACCTTCTCCACCGGCCCATGGAAGGGGCCGAGTCCCCGCCGCCGGGAGAGGAGCTGGAGCTCTCGGTGCTCGAGGCGCAGCCAGACGAGCAGACGCTTCTCAATGGAGCCGTCCAGGCCATCCTTGGGGCCGACGGTCCCTGCCCAGCCCAGGTAAGGTCCCTGGCGGCGCGACAGCAGTACGGGGGCCTGGCACCCGCAGCTTCAGGTTTCCAGCCAGGCCTCCGGGCGGCACAGACACAGAGCCTGGGTAGTGCGTGCTCCAATATTCTGGGCTGAGCGGAGGGAAAGGGATGACTTTGGGCCGGAGCAATCCGCCCCCGCCCCCGGGCCCCTCCGACCTCTCCGACCCCTGTGGCACTTCAGGAATCCTGGTGGTGAGGTGTGGCCGCTCCTGTCTTCACCTAGAGAAAATCCCCAGGGATAGAGGTGGTTTTAACACTTACGTAACTTTTAATTTAGTTTTTTCTTTTTCACGTAGGGAAGAAAATGAGAGATTGAGTCACCTTTTCATCAGAATCTCTTCTGCCTCCCTCTTACCTTCTCTGCCTCGCCGCTCCCACTCCGTTTCTCTCTCCCTCCCCCACAACCCCATCCCCTATCCCCCATCCCCCATCCCGGCTCATCATCCTCCAGACACTTTCTATCTTCTCCCAGCCCGGCCACATTTCATTCTGCAGGAAGAGAGATAGGGGAGAGGGGAGAGAGGAGAGAGCAGCAGGAACAAGAGGGGGTAAGGGTGGTGAGGGGTGGGAGGTGAACGTGCTCTGTTCCCTTGAAGGCAAATACTTTCAAAGTTCCTGCCTCAAAGGACTAGACTATGCCCCACCTGCTTTTGCCCCTCTCAATCCCTAAGCAAGTCTCTGGTGATGTTTAGGCTGAGCTCTTTTCTGATTGAACATTATTCACTCCTAGCAAATGCTTGTAAAACATCAGAGCTTTGAATTCCAGACTGTCCACCTTCTGATTGACCTCCAAAATTGGCTTGCGGCTTGCTGGGTACACGGAACTCCCCATGTATGCATAAAGTTCCAACCTGATCTTCCTAAGACACTCTCCTTCATCCCCAATTTTTTGGCTGCCCAATTGTTGATTTTAGGGATAAGCAGTAAATTCAAATGTTGAAAGCATTGCTTTTGCTTTGCATTGATTTCCTGGAAATACTGTTTTTATAGGTACTCTGGAGAGTAATTTGGTACCTTATCTTTAAATGAAACAGGAACACCACAGGAGAATGAAGGTTGAACAAAGATGGTCTGATCTCTAGTGCAAGTGGCCATGAGTGTGGCCTTGCCCTATGGATCTTTGAGAGCAATGTCTAGGAATGGGAACTGAGAAAACCTGCCTCACATTAGATAGACCTGGACACCCCAAAGACTCCATGGTTTGATTTGGGTCTGAATCCAGAGATCTGGTGACAGTTTCACCACTAAAAAGTGTGTCCCAGGGGCAGGGCTGTCCATGGGGGTAGTGTAATGTTCCAAGCCCTGGGAATGCCTTGTTGAAACCAGTTAAGGAGCAGAACATACCAAATCCATGTAGGGTATCAGTATTTTATAATTGTTAGCACCTGTCCTGTAGAGATTGCTCTTTCATGTTCTCATGACTTCCTTGTTAGGTATATACAGAGATCCTAGACTTCCTTGTATGTTAGCCTTGTGAGTCACTGAGTGGGAAAGCACTGGTCAGTCACAGGAGGAGTGACAGTGGAGGGCTCCATGACACTGGGAGGGCATTGTAGAAACACTGGAACAGGAAAAATTTCAAAAAAGAGAAAAAAATCCATTCTCTAATGTGTTAATCATTTTCCTTGGTTCAATAGAATAAGGTATTTCAATTTAAAAAGTCAATTAATACCGTGTTGATGGAAAACTCAAACTCTGTAAAATAATTTAAAGAGGTTTATTCTGAGCTGAATGTGTGTATTATGGTCTCAAGAAGTCTTGAGAAAACGTGCCTGAGATGATTGGGTTATGGTTTGGTTTTATACATTCATGGAGACAGGAATTACAGTTAAAACCATAAATCAATACATGGAAGGTATACATTGGTTTGGCCTGAAAAGGTGGGACATCGTGAAACAGAGGCTTGTACGGCATAGGTGGGTTTTAGGGATTCTTTAGGTGACAATTGGTTGAAAGAGTTGGGCTTTGTCTGAAGACCTGGAGTTGATAGAAAGGAATACTTAAGATGGGAGTCTGCTAGAGTGGAATTAAGATAAGGGAGTTTTCTATCTGTCCCGTGCTGTTATATGGGAATCAGGTTGGAACATAAGCCACCTTATACTAGGTTAATAAAAACTCATTTAAGGAGATTTTATTGTTTGTAGGCATGGCTCACCAGGCCTCTTAGAACGGAATCTGGGCAAGAGAAAAAAGGTCAGAATTCAATCCTCAGTAAGGTCATTAAAAATATTGGCTAGCATAAATGCAAGATTCAAACAAGAATTTTGTGAGTAGGTCTCAAACTGTGTGTCAAGAGTTCCAATTTTGAAATGTAGCATAAGTCCATGCATTTTCATTAACCATATGTTTTATACCTGTCATGTGACACTTGTGATACATAAATGCATTTGAGTATCACAAAAAGTTTAAGAGGAAGGTGTCAGTATTCTGATTTGTCAGGTGGAGGAACTGAGGGAAGAAACAGGCTCAGAGGAGTGACTAAAATGCTCAAGTTCACTCAGTGGTGCCTCTGAAGCTTGAACTCAGATTTTTTTAGGTCTCAAACCTATGCTGTTTCTGTTGATCTATTTTATCTATCAACAGATAATCGAAATATGTATCATATGTAACTTATTTATGGTTGCCTAAATTATAAATTATATAACTAATTTCTGTAAGTTAGGTAATTTATAATTAGGTAATTTAAGTGAAATAGCAGTTGAGTGTCACATCTGGAATGATGAGGGAGTTGCAGCTGGATGGGTAGATGGGTGAGGAGTAGGGAACGGGTGTGGGATCGTTGGGAAGAAGACATCTTATATCGTGGCTATCTTCCTATTTGGAAGAGCTGGGCTGAGAGAGTGTACAAAGGCAGTAGAAAGAACTGCTTTCCCTTTCTTGATCTGGGTGAGGGGATTCGGAGAAAGGACTATAAGCCACTGAACTCCACTTTGCCTGCCATCACTGTAAACATGGCAATATCAGTGGGTCAAAAGTGAAAAAGAAATTATAGATAATAAAGTGAGACCGGTTTTCTTTTAAGATTCATTACATGGGCTTTGACCTGGTTTTCAAATAGAAGTCCTAGAGACATTTTAAGTGATGGCAGCATCATTAGAATAATAATAAACCAGTAAATTGCTAGTTTTGAGGCAGGCAAGACTTATTTGAATGGCCTAGCTAAAAATTAGCCCATCGTTATATGTTGTTCAGTCCAGGACAAGAATCAACTGGCTCTTTTGTGCTTGGATCAAACAACAGGTGGATTAAACCCCACAATGAAGATTATAAAGAACAGATTTTTCTATGTGCTAAGAAATTTTTACCTAATCTATATAATATCTGCTCCCCATTGAGCCAAAGAGAAGAAAGGCTTTTTGGATTGAAGAGATAGATAGTCCTGCCATTGTTACGGGATCCTGCGTCCTGTATTTAGACTTTTACCCGAAGAGGGATGTATTTGGGGGAATGTTCATATGAAAGTCATGAAAATTCTTGAGCCATATAGTGCAATCATAGAATGTAAGGTGCAGTTTGCAAAGATCTCTGGAAGGTGCCTTGCAGAAGAACCTGTCTGTGGCCTCTCCTCACGGCCTAGAACCTGGGCAAGAGAGAATGAAGAAGCCAGTGAAGGAGGCAGTGTGTCTTCGTGATCCGGTTTTGAAGGCAAGGCTCAGACAGTGCAGGTAGCACACACCTACTATAGCAGAGGTTCTTCCTTCTCAGGTCACATTGGAATCTCCTGGGGGCACCTCTAAAAAGTACTAATTCCTCAGTTGCTTCTAATGTGCAGACAGCTGAGAAACACTGTGTACTCTGTTGTTTGGTTGGGAGTAGCTGACAGACCATTTTATGATGACTTAAAATCTATGAAGATTAGTCATGCAAGGGACAGTGGTCAGTGGCCTTGGTTTTAGGGCCGAGGACAGGTCAGTGAAGGGCACTAGTCTGTAGGATGGCAACCTTGGGCTGGACAAGAAGAGGCATTCCCTGCAGACGAGCGCTGTGTCATTTTGAGCTGAGTTCCTCTAGGAATACACAGGGTAATTAGTGGTCTTTTTTAAGCCACTAGAGCCCTAATTTATGATCTCGAAGGAACCGCCTAAGTGAGGGCACAAAAGGCCAGGGAGGTGCACTGACAATTATTCTGTGGCTTGTTTGAGACTCCAGGTCATTTACCTTTGTGCTAATCTTTATGGTCCTGACTGCCTTTTGTATAAGGACTGAAAACAGCACATGGTCTTTTAGTCCCAGGAGCTCTGTAAGTTGGGGTGTATGTTTATGTCCCCTGAGAAATTAAAAATTCCTTGTACTGGGACTTTTTTTCCCCATGTGTCTTATTAAGCCCTTGGCTTTGGTGGCTTTGGAGCAGTTCTGCAGTCTTTGTGTAGGGGTGTGAGGTAGCTCTATCCCTGCACTCCCAAGCTCCAGGGCCTTTATTGCTCTCCTCTCACCCAGGACAGGCTGGGCCTGAGAGCCAGTGTAGAGTGCACTTAGGGGCTCCAATGTTTGACCGTTCCTCCAGGATTTCTCAAAGTACATTGTTAAAATTTTTGGAGCCCTCTACAACTAAGCAACACACATTAAATGTCTATGACCTGTAGGGGGCAAAAGTGTGGAATCTAAGAACAAGGAAGTTTAAGAACCACCCTACCCTGTGTGTGATTTCACTTTGCCTGGGAAGATAAGGCCAGTATCTGTTTGTATTGGAACATGAAACCCGACAGGGCAGTCAGCGGCAGCAGCAGATGAGCTATGTGGACAGCCCATGAGCTGGGAGATATCACTGAGGACTGGTCCGAAGGGAGGTATCCACAAAAGGGGAATTTGACCTGGCTCCTGAAGGGTGGGAAGCTTCAGACCATGGGTCTCAACCCTGGTGAAGCAGTTGATTCACTTCGGAAGGTTTAAAGTTACAAGCCAGGTGGCCTGCTCCCACCTTCCCTACAATGTGGTCTACATCCTAGGTGCCGGTGGGGCCGAGGTATGTGTCGTTAAAATTCTCCCCAGGTGACTCTGATGTGCATCGAGGCATGGTAGCCCAAATGTGGACTAACAGTTTCCTTTTCTGATGGCCACCAGCAAAATAAGAATGGGAGAGAAAGTGAGCAAGGTGTCAGTCCAAGAGTGTCTCCTCAAGTGTCTGCTGCTGCTTTGTGAGACAGGTGGACACTCTGAGTAATGACTGAGGAGTGATTGGTCGCCTGGGTCCAGCTCCTAATATTTGTTTAGCTGTTAGTAGATGCTTTGTTACCATTATATCCATTGTTACCATTATTTGTTACCTGTGAGCTAGATGTAGTATTTCTATATTTTACAGTTGAGGACATTGGGGCCTGTGAGTTTCAGTAGCTTGTATATAAAGTCACCCTGCCATTAAGTGGTATACCTCAGATTGGAAGCCAGGTATGTCAGTTACGGAGACATTTCCCCCGCATCATAGTCCATTGTTTCCCATGGTCTTCATTAGGAATTACCTCTTGGTGCAGGGGGAAGTAGAAGAAGAGTGACGGGACCATTAGGGGCAGGTGCAGGCCCCTCCTGACCCTCCTAGCACTCATAACCTGGAGCTCCGCATGGTGCTGCCAGGAGGCTGTGGACAAAAGGGAGAGTTCAAGAGTTTTGCAGTGACTCACAGCAGAGATTAGTCCTGGCTAATCCCCCTGAACTGTGTATTTGAAATGGGCTAATGCGCACCTTGAAGGGCTGTTGGGATTAAGTGAAATGACGCTGGTGCTGGATAAACCATAGTGGTTGTAATTGTTTTCTTTGACCCCTCTTTCTTTCTCACTGCACCGTTTGCAGCATATTTCCTACAGTTTCCTGCATTTGTCTCTTCATTTCCCTTCCCTGGCCTTTTTTACATAGAATCTGGGCCACAGCAGTAGCCTTGTAGCTTTCTCTTAGTGTGTCAAATCCAAACTACACATCATTTTTCTCTTAGTTTTCAACTCTGCTCTTATGTTCCAAATCCTTCAGCAGGTCAGCAGTGCACACCAGATTAAGTCCAAACTGTTCTGGTAGCAATCAGAACCCTCTCAAGTATGCTCTAACCTTTCACTTTCTCTAATCTTGACTTTCCTTACTTGCCTCTGACACTCACGTTCCAATCATCAGACTAGTCTCTTGGCCAGTTCCATTACGAATCAACGCTGTGGCTGCTCTTTTCTGGGTTTGGAATGCCTTCAAAAATCCATCTTTCACAATTCTGCCTATCCTCTCCACCTCAGAGCCCCCAGAGCATTTTCTTGCTAACTTCTTTGTGAGATTCCATTCTGCCCTCGTGTATCTTTTTGTAAACTTCATGCAGTAGAGTGTAGCCCCCTGTGGCCTTCCTAGCTCCTAGTAGATATTCAAAATGTCTGTTGAAACCAAATGCCTACCTCACAATCTTCCTCTGCCTTCTAGGCTAACAGGGAAAGCACCTCGAGCTCCTGTAATAAGAATTTGTTTGGAAAGTGTCAACTGTGGATGGTCATCGTCTCCATTTTTCTAGGTTTCATTATAGTGATCATCATAGGCTTATGGCTCCATGGAGGTAAGAGGACTTAAATGGGACAAAATTGACATGTTCTAAGAACTTGTTTAAAGCCTGTGACTTACATTAAAATGGAAGATGCACTCATTGCTCTTTCATTATTTAGAACATTAATTTAAAACTGGCTTGGAATTTGTTGTATGGGGGGAAGATATACATAATTTTTTTTTGTTCTTGTATTTTTTTGTTGCTTGTTTGTCTTTTAAGCTCCAGAAGAAGTGTGGAGACTAGAGTTTTACTTTATAATTTGCTCATTGGATCTTAAAGAGTTTTCCTAAATTTTTAACTTACTTAAACCTTACTACATCTTGATACTTGCTTATTTGAAATTCTTTTTCTTCTTCTTTGTTTAATAAAAACAATTATTGTACTTCATCTAGTATATCTGGTATATTATTGTAATGATAAAATAATCAGTAATATATTTGCAAGAGTTTTTTTAAAAAACTCTATAGAACCATGTATCTATAAGCTGTCATTTTTAACTTATTTTAGAAATAACTATTACATTTGTGTCATATGGTGTATAAAAAACTTACATGGTGCCAACTATATACTATATAACTACATGCTTTACATATATTGTCTCACTTTGTTATTTATTTTTAATTTAAAAACAGTACAGTTCAGTTACCCATAAAACTTTCTATAATAATGATATTATATTTTCTTCTAGTCTTTTTCTTAATTATATTTTAAAAATAATTTGAGATCAGATTTTTTTTTAAAGTCTGTGGCCTACCTAAACAACTTTAATATTATATTGATATCATTTTGCCAAGTCATTAAAAATTCTTTGTGAATGTCATTTTTTTATGATTGCACGATGCAGTCTTCTACATCATTTTAAAGCCTTTTAGGTAGTTACCAATTTTTAAATGATTATCAGTATTAAAGTTTTTACAATACATAAATACAGCACCCTCCAGTGGGCAATCATGTCAATTTCAAAATAGGAAAGAAGAAAATTGTTTTTATTTGTACGTGAGGGTGTTAGTAGAGAGGGGCTTGTCTAGAGCTAGAATATTCCTGAGCTTGATCAGGTCTCTATGAGGATTTGGGTGGAGTCGGGCGGTCAGTGACTAAACCAGTCACAGAATGAGGGCAAGGCGGGGGCTCCCTGTGTCTCTCCAGAGGGAATTCTTAGGAATTTTCCTCAGGAAGTACATTTGTCATTCACCTCCTGTTCCCCCTTCTCCCAGTGCCTTAATCTTCTGTCTTAAGGTTTTTGTAGTCCCTGAATGTACAGGAAAACTTTGATAACATCAACCAACCTCCAGACTGTGAGTTTCTCAGACAGGTACCATGTCTGCACTTAGGGCGTTGTTTAGGTGGGTTGGGTGAGTCTTTGAGTCCATAAGCTGGTTTTAAGGTAGGAAGAAGCTAATAAGACGTGTTGCACCTCCTCCATTGTGCTGAGGACCGTAGTTTTGG